ATGGAGTCTTACTCTGTTGCCCAGGCTGAAGTGCAGTGGTGTGATCTTGGCTCACTGCAACCTCTGCCTTCTGGGTTCAAGTGTTTCTCCTGCCTCGGCCTCCTGAGTAGCTGGGATTACAGGTGTACGCCACCACGCCCAGCTAATTTTTGTATCTTTAGTGGAGACTGAGTTTCACCATGTTTCTCAGGCTGGTCTTGAACTCCTGACCTTGTGATCTGTGCACCTCAATCTCCCAAAGTGTTGGGATTACAACCGTGAGCCAGCTGCTTGGCCCATTCTTTTTTTTTTTTGTTTGAGATGGAGCCTCACTCTCTCACTAGGCTGGAGTGCAGTGGCGTGATCTCTGCTCACTGCAACCTCCGCCTCCCAGGTTCAAGTGACCCTCTTGCCTCAGCCTCCCAAGAACTTGAGATTACAGACACCCATCACCACGCCCAGCTACTTTTTGTATTTTTAGGAGAGACAGTGTTTTACCGTGTTGGCCAGGATGGTCTCAATCTCTTGACCTTGTGATCTGCCCACTTCGGCCTCCCAAAGTGCTGAGATTACAGGCGTGAGCCACTGTGCCCTGCCAGCCCTTGGTTTCTTAAGGAGAAAGAGGGTGATATTTAGAAACCAAGATCTGAGTATTAGGTGTGCTCATTACTGGTGGTGTATGTCATTACCTCTAACCCCCTTTAAAGAGCTAGAAAATATACATTTTAAAAAATCATGAGTTCCTACTGAACCTCCAATTCAAGTCCAATTCCACAGGGTTCTTCCTTTTCCCATGTCTCATATTTGTGTTTTCCAACTCACAGAAGAAACCCTGGCTCCCAGCACCTCTCACTTATGTACTCATTTGCTTCAAGTTATAGCATATACAAAATAGTTTCAGAATTGCAACACTAATGGCATGACTAATAGCAAACTTACTAAATTCAAGATTTTTGTACTTGTTTTGTTCTTAGAATATATCCTACTAAGATATAGAATCAGATTGATGTCAGACATTTGATTCTAAATATGGATTTGCGGATTTCAAATCTCTTTAGAGATTTTGCCCATGTAAGCTTGCCATTTGCATGCATAGGGGGAAATGTAAGAGTTAGATAGACCTGGGTTCAAATCCTAGCTCAGTTATTAGCTCTTTCTTATCTTTTATTAGTATGTTTAATTGTTTGTAGAACAGGCATAATACTGACCCTGGAAGATTATTCTAAGAGTAAAGATAATGACCAGAAAGCACTTACACTGGTAGTCATAGGGTAGACAGTGGCTGTTGTCATTTATTTGGCCCTTGAAATATTTAAAAACGTAACATTTGACTTTTTATAAATAGTTTTGGCTAAGCTCAGTGGCTCATGTCTGTAATACTAGCACTTTGGGAGGCCAAGGTGGGCGAATTGCTTGAGTCCAGGATTTCAAGAGCAGCCTGGGCAACACAGTGAAACACCATCTCTACAAAAAATACAAAAAATTAGCCAGGCATAGTGGCAGAGGTGGGACTCAGGAGGCAGAGGTGGGAGGATCTCCTGAGCCCGGGAGATAGAGAGGCTGGAGTGAGCTGTCACTGTGCTCCTGCATGCCAGCCTGGGTGACAGACCCTACCTAAAAAATAAAAAGATTAGAAGCCTGGTTATTTTATTTGAAAAATTCCAAAGGCGATTTTGGTGCTAGTGAATTTAAAAAATGTCCCCAGAAATAATTTTGCCAAGTCATCATGTTTCTAACATATTAAAAAAATCTATTATCTTGAGAAATCTATAAGCTATTAAAGTTTTAAAAATGTAATCTAATTTTTGCCAGGTTCATATACTAATATTGCTTAGTTAGTTTATATCAGGAGTGCTGTAGACCTAAATATCTGTGGAAAATAGATGAAAGATCGTTTCTTTATAAGTGTATCCTATAATCATCAGTGTATCTTTTGTCACCAAGAAGCAATCTGTGTTGTTAAAGTTGTCAGATGTGGCTCAGATACTATCCTGTTTCTACTTAGACTGCTTTTCTTGGATGTCAAATGTCATAATTTCCTTTATTTTTATTTTTAAAATAGACTATATTTTAGGATAGTTAGAGATTTATAGAAAAATTGAGAAGGTAGTACAGAGTTTTTATATACCCTGCACACAGCTGTTCCTGTTACTAAGATCTTCTATTGGTATGATACATTTGCCACAATTAATGAACCAGTAGTGATTCATTGGTTTTACTTACTAAGGTCCATAGTTATTCAGATTTTCTTAGTTTTTAATGTCTTTTTCTGTTGCAGGATCCCATTGACAACACCACATTACATTGAGTTTCCATGTCTTCTTAGGCTCCTCTTGTCTGTGACAGTTTTTCAGACTTTCCTTGTTTTTGATGACTTAGCAGTGTTGATAACTGGTTTACAATGTTGTCATGAGTATTTCAAGCTTTCTATAGGATGCCCGTTTGTTGGAATTTGTCTCCTGTTATCCTTATGATTAGACTAGCGTTTTGGGTTTTTGGGAGGAAAACCACAGTGGTGTAAAATGCCATTGTTACTACATCGTATTAAGGGTACAGCCTTTCAACATGAATGTTCACTGTTGATGTTGGACTTGACTATCTGGCTGAAGTAGTATTGTCAGGTTTCACCACCATGTAGTTATTCCTCTTCCCCACTTTCCACACCTTTTGGAAGGAAATCCCATGTGCAACCCATGCTTAAGGGGGTGGGGTTGTGCTCTACCATTTTTGAGGACAAAGTATCTATATAAATACTTGGAACTTTTCCGTAAGGGAGATTTATCTCTTTTTCCAATTTGTTGATTTAGTCACTTACTGATGTCATTGTAGACTTACAGATATTTATTCATACTTTGGGTTGTAGTTCACTGGTACTTTGTTTTGCTGCTCCAGCTGTTACCACTGGGAGCTCTTTCAGTTGGCTCCTATGTCCTTTTGACATACTCAGGTATGTAGATTTTTTATTTTGAGAACTTCCTTACTTCCTGGCACTATAAGAACTTAAGGTGCATCAATATATTTCCTGCCTTTGTCCTAGAGAATCAACCATTTCTTCAAGGAGTGCTGGTTCCTTTATTGAAGGATTGTATTAGGAACTGAGATCTGGACATTAGGTGTACTCGTTGCTACAGGGGTATTTTTGCTTTTAGCTCTCTCAGGTGACAGCAAAGAAATACATGTGTGTATACTAGATCATTCTGTTGGTCCACATCCTCACCAGCATTTTGACTTAACCTAATTTATTTCAATGCCTAGATGGATAAATGTGTAATAATAGGCATGTTTGTTTTAAAGGTAACAGGCTGGAAATATGCCCTTACCTGTTTTAAGGATGTTCTCCTAAACTCACATCCCTTCCTCTGACTTCTGTTTAAATTGATTGCATTTTGGCTAGTTATATTAATTATATGTTGTTACTTTTTAAATAATATGCAAAATCAACCTTGTAGGGATCAGATGCCTTTGTAGGGCAGGCAGTGGGGGCTGTTCCTTTTTGATGGTCCACAGCAGGAATTATCTTTATGTGTCTGGGTATTGCGGATAACAACAGGGAGCGAATAGGTGGCCTATTTGCAGGAGTTGCCTTGACTTTGAGGGTCACAAAGCATGATGAAGACTAGGTCTCTTTCTTAGCCTGATCCAGGGAATGGTGCTGTCTCCTTTCACTCCCCTTGAGGCCTTCATTAGGAATATCAGTTTCATATTATAGATAAGAATGCCTGTTTTAATTGCCATGTCTAATAGGATGTTAGGCGATAAAGTTTTCTATGTGCTCCCCTTCCAGTGTAATTTAGTGATATATTTAGTATATTTATTCAGTCATTACATGGCCTGCATCCTGGGCGCTCCTTTGTATCGTAGACCTTTTGACTTAAGGGTAACCACTTGCAGTAAATATGCTTACTTTGTTTTTCTTTTGGTGAGGGACTGGGGTATAAGAGTGGTCTGGCTTTGACATCTGCATACCATTTAGAGCTTAGCTGTACTTTCCAATTTCTGCACATAGAACAAGTGGACTGGCCTGGGTGGTAGGGAGTCTGTTTCCTAAGCAGTTCTCTGGCCATTAGAAATTTTTTTATTTTTAAATTTCAATAGTGATTTGAGTACAGGTGGTTTTTGGATTACATAGATAAGTTCTTTCGTGGTGATTTCTGAGATTTTAGTGCACCTGTCATCCAAACGGTGTACACTGTACCCAATATATAGTGTTTTACGTCGTACCCGCCTCCCAGTTTTTGCCCCTGAACTCCCAAAGTTCATGGTCTCATTTTTTTGACTGGCTATTCTTTTTGACAGTAACTAGATGACTGTTAGGTCTTCTTTTCTGTGTATTTCCACATTTATAATTATGTAAATTAGTGGGATTTTCATAACTAATTTAGTAGTTGGTGTCCTTTGTATACTGCATGATATTCTTTAGTCAGTGAGTCCGTGCTAATTTTGTAAAAAAAATCTGTTTCAAAAATAGCATACTGAGCTATTATCCCATAAAGAAAAAGTTTGTTATTTGGATTGGCCAGTTAGTTGAACAAAAGCATATCTGATACTCAGAATGTATCTAGTCTTACATCTGAACACTTTGTTTCCAAATGTTAAGTTGAAAAAAATATATATGTATTTTTACTTTGCATAAAGAACACGTTCATGTTGCCAAACAATGCTGAAAATGATAATGTTCCTTCTGATTTCTCTGTACAGCAAATTGCACAGAGTTTGAAAGATGAGCAGAAGAAGGTACCTTCAGAAGCTTCATTTTCAGATGTTCGGTTAGAAGAAGGAGAGTCTAATAGTCTGACAAAATCTGGTATGTTATGATGTCTTAACTACCAGCATTTATTCATTTGGGTTGATAAACCTTTATTGAGGACTTGTCCTATCCCAGGCATGAAAAACAACTTGTGCCTTTGAGGAGCCCACCCTGTATGGGGGGAGACTGGAATTCAGTGGTGAGTGAGATGCTAATGGTTTGCACAGGGTGCTGTTGGACCATGGATGAGGGTCGTGGAAATGACGAAGGGAGGTGAGCTCTTAAGTGCAGCAAGGTGGGCTCAGTGTGAGGTGTGGCATCTGAGAGCTGTGGTGTGTTTATGAAGAGTGTGAGAGAGCCAGGTGAATTAACATTGTTTAAGACAGAATAGAAGGTAGAAAGGCATGCAGGAATGGAAAACCATGGCCATTCTGGGAAATTCAAGTGGTTTGGTATGTTTGAGCCCACGCTGTATGTGGGGAAGGGGCAGTTAAAATAGGCCAGATTGGGATAGATGTCATGTGATAGTCTCATGGCCTTTGGACTTCTAGCGGCATAGTGTATCATGGCGAGTAGACCATCAGATTTGCATTTTGTAAACGTATTGTCTGGAACTGGAGTAAAATATTGACACAGTTGTATGGGATGGCTTGGACTAGGGTAAATGTTATGCAAAGAGCAAAACTGTCCCAGGAATAACCCTGGCCACTCGTTAGGGACCTAGACAGCAAGCCAGATGCAAAGTAAGCCATCCTCTCTGCACCCAGCTATAAGAGTGGCTCTAAAGCTCAGCTCCCCATGGGATAACTGGGAAGGTGGGTACTGTAACTCTGTGGGCTTGAAAGAGCCCCAGCTGCCTCAGGATCCCCAGGGGAAGGGCATCGTCAGATGTTCTGAGTCTACTCTATAAACAGCTGCTATACCAAATACAGACTGCCAAGTGGCTGGATATTGCCCATCCGACAGAGCCATTTTATCACACCCCCCAGTTGGAGGGAGGACTCCCAGAGGGCTGAAATTTCCTCCTCTGCAGTAGAACCCATGCCATGTCCCAGTATACCTCTTGGTCCTAGTATACCTCTTTATGGGTACTGGAGTGACGAGAGTACATATCTGTCTTGCCAACCCTGGCCTTGTGTGTTTTCTCTTTCCCCACTAAAGCCTACTTTTTAACCAATTACTGGCATTCCAATGAGGCCTTATTGGCGGAACTGTTGAGACTGATCAGGAAGTTGTTATATTTTTCCATTTGAAAAATAAAGGTGGTTTGAACCAGGGTGTTATTGGGGGGATGGAGAGAAATACAGAGATGAGGATTATGGTTAGAAGTTTGAATCAGTAGAATTTGATGGCACATCAGATGTGAGGGTTGAGTAAGGTCCATGTGGAACAACTGAGAGGTTCTGTATGATATGGTTCTAGAAGCTGTACTGTCCAATATGGTAGCCACCACCATTGAGCATATGAAATGTGGCTAGTGTGAACAATGTGCTGTAATTGTGTAAGATTCACACCAGATTTCCAAGACTTAGTATGATAGAGGGAATGGAAAACAGCCTGGGTGCAGTGGCTCATTCCTGTAATCCCAGCACTTTGGGAGGCCGAGGTGGGTGGATCACCTAAGGTTAGGAGTTCAAGACCGCCCTGGCCAACATGGCAAAACCCCATCTCTACTGAAGATGCAAAAGTTAGCTGGACATGGTGGCATGCGCCTGTAATCCCAGCTACTTGGGAAACTGAGGCAGGAGAATCTCTTGAACCCAGGAGGTAGAGGTTGCCATGAGCCAGGATCGTGCCACTGCATTCCAGTCTAGGCGACAGAGCGAGATTCTGTCTCAGAAAAATTAAAAAAAAAAAGGAAAATATGTTATTAGTCATTTTTATATTGATTACATGTTAAAATGATATTTTGGACATATTGGATTGAATAAAATATACTAAAATTAATCCTTCTTCTTTTTTTTTTTTTGAGAGAGTCTCCCTCTGTTGCCCAGGCTGGAGTAGAGTGGTGCAGTCTCAGCTAACTGCAACCTCTGCCACCTCAGTTCAAGCGAGTCTCCTGCCTTAGTTTCCCAAGTAGCTGGGACTACAGGTGTGTGCCACCATGCCCAGCTAATTTTTGTGTTTTTTTATTAGAGATGGGGTTTCACTGTATGTTGACCAGGCTGGCCTCGAACTCCTGACCTCAGGTGATCTGCCTGCCTTGGCCTCCCAAAATGCAGTGTTGGGATTACAGGTGTGAACCACTGTGCCTGGCCATTTCTGCTTGCTTTTTCTTTCAAAGCGACGAGGTCTCACTATGTTGCCCAGGCTGGTTTTGAACTCCTGTGCTCAAGCAATCCTCCTGTTTTGGCTTCCCAAAGTGCTGGGATTACAGGCATGAGCCACCATGCCCAGCCTTTTTATTTATTTATTTTTGAGACAGTCTCGCTGTGTCACCAGGCTGGAGTGCAGTGGTGTGATCTTGGCTCACTGTAACCTCCACCTCCCGGGTTCAAGTGATTTTCCTGCCTCAACCTCCCAAGTAGCTGGGACTACAGGCCCACACTACCACGCCCAGCTAATTTTTGTATTTTTAGTAGAGACGGGGTTTTACCATGTTGGCCAGGCTGATCTTGAACTCCTGACCTCGTGATCTGCCTGCCACAGCCTCCCAAAGTGTTGGGATTACAGGTGTGAGCCACTGCACCTGGCCTTTATTTATTTATTTATTTATTTTTTAATAGACAGAGAGTCTCGCTATGTTGCCCAGGATGGGTCTTGAACTCCTGGCCTCAAGTGGTCCTCCCACCATGACCTCCCAGAGTGCTAGAATTACAGACGTGAGCCACTGTGCTTGGCCGCTTTTTACTTTTTATTTTGAAGACAGGGTCTGGTTCTGTTGGGCAGGCTGGAGTGCAGTGGTGCGATATTGGCGTACTGCAACCTCTGCCTCCCGGGCTTAAAGCTAGCCTCCCACGTCAGCCTCCCACGTAGCCTATGCCATCATGCCTGGCTAATTTTTTTTTACTTTTTAAAATATGATGTTTTCCTGTGTTACATTTATGATTCACATTATATTTCTATTGGACAGCACTGCTCTAGAGCTGTAAAGAGAAAGATTGGTTTAGAATTTAAGGATGAGGAGAGATGATGCTTTGGGCTTATGTAAGATCATCCTAGGACAGAGTGACTGTAGCAGAAGTCTTGGGAGAGAAACTGAGCCAAGTTTAAGGAGCAAATGGAGATAGAGGAGTAAACTGAGCCCACCAAGAAAGAACAGCCAGCAAGGTCAGGAGTGGGCAAGTGGGAGTGTGATTGACATCAGAGGAGGAGGGGTTGGCAGTGCAGTTTGTGTAAACAGGTGAGAAGACCAAAATCTCGAGAACGCTGTGGTTACAAAGTGACATGCTAAGTTTTAAAATTTGAGAGGTGGAATAGTTGAGAGGAAGAAGAAAGTCTGTAGAAAGCAGTAAGAATGCAGTTCTGCACGTATTCAGAAAATCTGCCTCTGCAGTAGAGGTGTGAGGTTGGAAGTGAAAGTCTTTGGAGTTGAGAAGGTAAGGATGAACAGCTCATCATCCATGCAGTTATCAGTGTTATCACAATGGTGATAGAACTTGGGGTGGAAAGCAAGGCTCTGAATCAGGTAGGAAGTGGTGCAAAAACAAAAAGAGTATGTCAAAATCACTTTTTCCTGGTTCTGAGATATGTTGGAAGTAAGAGAATGAGAAGCCTCTGAAAGGAGGGCTTTAATTGATGTGATGTTCATGGCGTAGAAGGAGGTGTCAGGGCAAATCGGTGGAGGGTCCATCTTGTGAAGAGACCAGTTCCCACTACCTTCAAAAAGCACAGCTTTATTCTCTATGTAGAGCAAGTGAGGGGGAGGTGAGGCCCACAGAGGCCGATGGAGGCAGACGTGCAGGAGGGCTGCGGGAGAAGCCCTGGTCCTGGGCTTGCTCTGCACCTCGGAAGAGGCAGCCAGGAGCCACTTGCCTTTTGATGGTTTACCCTGGCGAACTACTTAGTTACACAGGAAAGGGGAAAATATGAACACAAGCTGAACTTCTGGCTTTAAAGTACTTGAACACATTTGTTTGACTAAACTTTTTTTGGGGGGAATTCTTTTGGTACTTTATTTTGAAGAAGGGATCCTGGAGATAGCATATTCCGTAGGAAAACTATATTTCATTTCCTAAATATTCTTTGATGTAATTTGTTTATTCTTTTTTTTAAAGAAACATCATAGAAATTAGACATTAGTTTAAAGTGAGCTCTTATGGAAGATATTTAAAAGTTATATAAGTTGAATAGGAGTGATGAGAGAAAAAGAAAAGATTATATAAGTATTACTTGTTTTTGGGAAAAAAACTTACAAAACTATAAAGTGAAAGCACTGGCTAGGCGCCTTGGGTTGAGCATATGTATACGAAGCTGGAATGTATGTATGTACATACTCATATGTGTACATACATACATTCTCACTTACTGTGTTAAATCTCACCTGTCACTGATTTAGATTTCTTATGGTATTCTTGATGAGAGCTGAGGCTGGTAAAAATTGATGCCCTCTAGCTATTGATAGCTAACGAGAATAAACAGTTTATAGTTGCCATGTAAATTATTGTAAGCATATGTGTGAAACATCCACATGTGTGAAATGTGTCTTCTTTTACATTTGGGTTTTAGGTTCAACAGAATCCCTCAATCCTAGACCACAGACCACAATTTCTCCAGCGGATCTTCATGGAATGTGGTATCCTACGGTTCGAAGAACTCTTGTCTGTCTCTCCAAATTATACAGATGCATAGATGTATGTGTATCTTTATTGTAAATTGCATGCTCTTTCAGTTGAAATATTTTTTAATTTACATTTTAAGATCTTGATGAAGTATTTTGTTGGCCAGTCTTAAAATGATGATTTTACATATAGAAGTAACTTGAAGGCCAACCTAATTTAGGAATTTCCAACCTGAGCTTTCTATAGAACTTTAGAATTTAGTACTGGGCTTTGGGGAGTCTATGGACACCTCAAAATTGTGGGCAAATTTTGCATGACTGTTTTATATGTGCATTTCTGAGGAAAAGTTCTTTAGCATTCATTGATTCCTAAAGGAGTTCACAACCACAAATAAGTTTAAAACAACTGATTAATTTGCCTACCTTAGTTTATAGATGAAGACAGAGATATAGAAAGGTTAAGTGAACATCCAGTGTCACATAGGATAGTATACATTTAGTATTCAATTTTTTGTTTTTTGAGACAGAGTCTTGCTCTGTTGCCCAGGTTGGAGTGCAGTGGTGCGATCTTGGCTCACTGCAACCTCACTTCCTGGGTTCAAGAGATTCTCCCACCTTAGCATCCTGAGTAGCTGGGGTTACAGGCGCCCACCACCAGGCCCAGTTAATTTTTGTATTTTTAGTAGAGATGGGGTTTCACGATGTTGGCCAGGCTGGTCTTGAACTCCTGACCTCAGATGATCCACCCACCTTGGCCTCCCAAAGTGCTGGGATTACAGGTGTGAGCCACCACGCCTGGCCTATTAATTAAGTTTAGTATTAATTGCAGCTACTTTAGTTTTATACTCAGTTTGAATCCACATCTGTAACAAGGAGTATTAAGATGACATGTATTTCTAACCAGGGACTTAGTAATTTGCTAAAGTTAGCAGCACCTTTTTAAATTTCAAGCACCAGCTTAGACTGTACATTGATTTCAGAGGACAGAGTTATTTTAAGCACTCCAGTTTAATGATATGATTATCATTCACTGCAACATCAGATTTGTTGACATTTATTTGCTGTCAGTGATTTGTTGCTAAACCAAAATATTTTATAAAATATGGTGGTTTTAATTCACTTAGTTTATTAATTTGATTGCCGTAACCCTGACTGCATTTAGAGCAAATTAAGTATAGCAGTCATGTAATGAATTGTCTAGATGCCACTATTTCTTAAGGATATAGTTCAAAACAGTATGCATTTACCCTTACACCACAGAGATACTTTATACCACAGAATCCTAGGACTGCACAGCTGTTTCCTTGGGGTCAGTAGAGTCTACATTTCTCTTTATTTAATTTGAAATGCATAATTGCTGGGCTTTGTGCTTATAGATTTTGAAATGCTACCAAAAGGGCCTTTTGCCCAGTTCTGGGACTTTTAAACACGGGCCCATATCACCTCTACAGACTTAGATGCCTCAGCCTTTTTACACAGCTGATGAGATCTCCTCCAGAGAGAGGTTTGGATATTTGGCATCTCTTCCTCCCCAGGCTGTCCTTTAGGTTTGTTGAATAATAATATTAGGCTGAGATTCAGCAACTTCCTGCAGTGGAGTCAGGATCCCAAGGAAAATACACAGGAGGCATATTCCGCATAGAACCCATTGTCACCACAGACACTAGTAAATAAAGCCGCTTAGGGTGCTTAAGGGGGATTTTAGCTAAATAGCAGGTAGGCCTGAGGAGGTCACTCTGCCAGTTTGGTTTTATGCCTTAGGCTTGCTTATTCCTTTTTCACCTAGCTTATATTCAAATCTTAACACTTTCAGTCTTACTGATCAAAAGTGAGGAAAGAAAATCCAGTGTCCGATAAATTAAGGCTGAGCAGGAGAAGGTGAGGGTCTTGGTCTAAGCTGCTCATTTTAAGCTTTCCTAGGCAGGGTTAGTGACCCAGCAGGTGGCAGCTCTAATTTCTCCTTCCTCCAGTAGCCTTGTGGGAAACCATAGAGTGGGGAGACGCAATGTAAAAACAGAATAACAGCAAGTTGGAGACCAGGGCCCAGAACAGGGGCCTAATAATGAATAGGCTCATATCTATCCATCTCGGGTAGAATGGAGGCGGGGGGGAAGCAAGGAGACTAACCACCATCCCACACCTCAGGGAAGATTGTAATGGCAGAATTAAAGTAAGAATCATACTGCACATACCATTTTGTAACCTGTTTTTTTTTTTTAAACTCTATTTTATAAGAACTCCAGTGCCTCCTTCAGCATTCTTTGATTTCATAAACAGTATTCTATAATTTAGATTTAGTAGTATTTTGTCAGTCCCCTGTCATTGAACATTTATGTAACATAAATAATACTGTAATGAAGAGCCATGTACGTGAATCTTAAAATACGATGCTGATGTATTTTTAGAAGTGGATTTACTGAAGGTTTGTTTTAAAGTTGGTTTTAGAGACTTAAAAAACAGCACACATGAGATCGTGTTGGAGCGAGGGCTCCATGAGGTCAGAACCACGCCTGCCTTTATTTCTAGCATCTAGCTCAGTGCCCAGCATGCTAATCAGTATTTATCGACGGGTCACATGAATGTTTCCAGAGATGACTGCATGTTACCGATCTACATGTTGGTCTAGAAAGGTTGCATGGGAATAGGGAATCAGGAAGAATAGTACCAGTAGTAAATTAATCCAACCATGAGGGCAAGCAGGCATTGTTATTTGCACTCACAGCTTAGGATTTTCCTTTTTTTCTTTTGTCAAGTGCCACAGGCTGATTATTCTCTTTTATTCCACCAGAGGGCAGTGTTCCAAGGATTATCACAGGAAGCATTGTCTGCCTGCATTCAGTCCTTACTTGGAGCATCAGAGTCAATCAGCAAAAACAAGGTTTGATGAAGTGTTAGGTGAAATCCTGTTTCCTGGTAAAATATTGTGGAGTATAGCATTTACTTATCGACGGGTTGGAGAAATTTATACGGGGCACAGAAATTTATAGTTCATTTGGCAGTAGGATTTGTTTTTTTTTGTTTTTTTTTTGAGACGGAGTTTCACTCTTGTTACCCAGGCTGGAGTGCAATGGCGCGATCTCAGCTCACCGCAACCTCCGCCTCCTGGGTTCAGGCAATTCTCCTGCCTCAGCCTCCTGAGTAGCTGGGATTACAGGCACGCGCCACCATGCCCAGCTAATGTTTTTGTATTTTTAGTAGAGACGGGGTTTCACCATGTTGACCAGGATGGTAGGATGGTCTCGATCTCTTGACCTCGTGATCCACCCGCCTCGGCCTCCCAAAGTGCTGGGATTACAGGCGTGAGCCACCGCGCCCGGCTGGATTTGTTTGTTTAACATGATTGAATTTTGCAGCTCTTTGAGAGAAGCTGGTATTTCATCATACTGCTAAAGACTGTACTATATATATAAGAGAGTCCAACTTGCTAAATGACCAAAAGTGGTACTTAGGTTACACATTCTATAGGGTAAAGATTTCTTGTTGTAGCCCTAGCCACTGGGGAAATGGTACTATTTCCCTGGAATACCAAGAAAGCATTTTCAAGGAAACGTCACAATTTATAGTCATCTCGACGATAATGTTTTAAATAGTTGAATGTTCTTACATGGAGGAAATGAGTCAGTTAGTTTTGAGGACAGGTAATGGTGGCTCTGGGTTGTGTGACTAGAAGGAGTTACCATGGCTGTGTGGCTTATAGTTTTGTTTGTTTGTTTTTGAGACAGGGTCTTGCTCTGTCTCTGAGGTTGGAGTGCAGTGGTGTGATCATGGCTTACTGCAGCCTCAATCTCCTGAGCTCAATCCACCCTCCCACCTCAGCCTTCCAAGAACTTGGGACTACAGGCAGCCACCTTCATGCCCTGGCCAAGTTTTTTATTTTTTGTAGAGATAGGATTTTGCCATGTTGCTCAGGCTGGTCTCAAACTCCTGGCCTGAAGTCATCTGCCCACCTCAGCCTCCCAGAATGCTGGAATTACAGCTGTGATGAGCCACTGTGCCCAGCCATTTTTTTTTTTTTTTTTTTTTTTTTTGAGACAGGGTCTTATTCTGTCACCTAAGCTGGAGTGCAGTGGTGTGGTCTCCGTTCACTGCAGCCTCAACCTCCTGGGCTGAAGTAATCCTCCTGCTTCAGCTTCCTGAGCCGCAGGACTGTAAGGCACCTGGCTAAATTTTTTATTTTTACTTTTTGTAGAGATAGGAACTCACCATGTTGCCCAGGCCAAATTCCTAGGCTCAAATGATCCTCTTGACTCAGCCTTCCAAAGTAATGGGAATACAGGTGTTAGCCATTGTGCTCAGCAGCTTACAGTTTTTAATCCAGAAGGGATGTGGGCTGAAGGCTGCTGGCTTGTGCTTCTCCCATAGCCCGTGAGATTTTTTTTTTTTTTCCAGGAAGTAGAGCATGTTTAAAAGTGTTGCTTTGCTTAACTCTCCTATTAAAATATCTGTCACCTATTGGGAAGTAGCTGTGGGAGCTGTTTCCAGCCAAAATATTCTTCCCACCTGGAGTGTTCAAATCGTGTGAACTTTTTTGACTTATAGATTTATAAATGTGACTTTTAAGTTCAAGGCTTTAGATAAATTTTATATACACACACACACACACACACACACACACACACACACACACACATCTCACCATAAAATCATTTTGGATCTTGGGATCTTGTTGCTAGGAAAGCTCTGCCTTTGTGATCACTATTTTTCTCATTCATGAAATGAAGAGGTAAAATGAAATTTTCACATGGGGACTAGAAATAAAGTTATAGACAGGCAGATTTAAGCTTTAACAAGTATTTTCAAGTCCGTGCCCACACATTTTGATAATAGATGAAATTAGAACACGCATGTCTAACATTAAGGAAAAATTGTGGCATGTTTTATATAACAGAATAGTACACAGTCATTAAATTTTTAAAAATGAAACAATACAATTTAACTTAAACATATTAAGGCAATAGAAATTCAAGATGCAAATCAGATATATGGTATGACTATGTAATAAAATGCATTGAAGAAAATATGTAGCAGTGAAATCTTTTAGGTGACCATGGGTGATTTTTTTTCTCTCATTCCCTGCACATTTCTTTATTTTCCACAGATCATCAGGAAAGAAAAAATGACCTAATTTAAAAAAAAGTTCATAGGTTTATATCTTCTTGTACCACTGTCCTCTTTCTTTCTTTTTTTGTTTTTTTTTTTAAGACAGAATCTCCCTCTGTCACCCAGGCCTGAGTGAGGTGGCATGATCTTGGCTCACAGCAACCTACATCCATTTCCCGGATTCAAGCCATTCTTGTGCCTCAGCTGCCCAAGTAGCTGGGATTACAGGCATGCGCTACCATGCCCGGCTAATATTTGTATTTTTAATAGAGACAGGGTTTCACCATGTTGGCCAGGCTGGCCTTGAATGCCTGACCCCAAGTGATCCACCCACCTTGGCCTTCCAAAATGTTAGGATTACTGGCGTGAGCCACTAAACCCAGCCATGTTCTCTCTTTTAAGGGAGTCATGAAAAGCCATTTGATCTTTGGTCTTTTGCCTTCATTATCTGTAGCCCATCCTCTTTTATCTGATTCTGTTTCCTAGATGTTATAAGAGGTTTAAGTATATATGGGGAAGCTCTCAATTTGTTAAGACACTAGCTATTATTCTCATGGTTGAATTTGTGTACTTTTACCTTAAAAAGTGATCAATGAAAATGGATTAGTGTCTTAAAGAATTTTTAAGGCAAGAAATTATTCTTACATACTTAAACTGAGTACCTATCAACAAATTAACATGATACTATATGCTGGATTACAATAGCTTTAGTTTACTAAAGTAAATAAAATCTATATAATACTATTTTTGGCATCAGAGTTGTTAGGTCTTTTAAAAATAGAGCAAATAAAGAGGCTGAGGCAGGAGAATTGCCTGAACCCAGGAGGCGGAGGTCGCGGTGAACTGAGATTGCGCCATTGCACTCCAGCCTGGATAACAAGAGCAAAACTCCATCTCAAAAAAAAAAAAAAAAATAGAGCAAATATTTAAAATATATAGCATTTCCTACTTACCTGGTGCTCCGTGTTGCAGGATGCAGAGTGAGTTTCCATTACATAAGTCATTGATTATGTTTAAAACGGGTGGAGAGAGAGCGCGAGACTGAGAATCTTCATTTAGTACCTCCTTTAAAATTTTATATTGCTTACTGAAAGTTAACTTTATCTTTTCCTAAGGTAATGTAAAAATTTCATTAGCAATATTTTCAAAATAAGATGCTACCTTGAGTAACAGCAAGAAGGTGCAAATACAGCCTTGCTCTTATTAATACACAGCCTCTTTTCTGAAAGGAGAGCTATGATTATTCAGTATTTGAGGATTGAGTCAGAGGTTTGAGAACTGAGCTTGAATCCCAAGACTCTTGAGCATGGGTCTTGAGAGGGCAGAAGGACATACTGGACTCTCAGGGATGTGGGTAGTCAGAGCTGTGTTGGTGGCAGGAGAATGGCAACCCCAAATCATTTTACATTTGTATAAATAGAGGTATGTCTTATGTTCTGGATATTGATCAAATAGTGAAAGCCATGTTCCTGAGGAGAAACTAGAAAGCCAGGCCAGGTCAGGATTGTGCTTATTCTTTGAGCCTTTCTTTACCTCTTCTGCTCTGGGCCACTGTTAGGCTGCCTCATCTCTTCTACTTCTGCACCAGGTGAAAGTAGATTGGACTTCTCTTTCTAAACATGTTGCTTTATAGCCTTGTGTCTGACTTTCTTGGATTTTTAAAGTAGAGCGAGTGACAGTGCCAATGAGAGTTTGAAGCTGGTTGGGTGTGATGGCTCACGCCTGTAATCCCAGCACTTTGGGAGTCTAAGGCAGGTCGATCGCCTGGGGTTGGGAGTTCGAGACCAGCCTGACCAACATGGAAAAACCCCGTCTCTACTAAAAATACAAAAATTAGCCGGGCATGGTGGCGCATGCCTATAATCCCAGCTACTTGGGAGGCTGAGGCAGAGAATTGCTTGAACCTGGGAGGTGGAGGCTGCAGTGAGCTGAGATCATGCCATTGCACTCCAGCCTGGACAACAAGAGTAAAACTCGGTCTCAAAAAAAAAAGTTTGAAGGAAGATTTTTTTTAACTTAATTCTAGCATGGGGAGAGTTCATTGCACAACAAAAGAGAATTGACACCATAAAGCCGTAAACGTAGGTAGATTACTGTTGACTAATAATGTATGCTTTATGTGCTCCTATTTTGATTTAATCTGTGATCATATCCATTTTTCTGTCTTATAATTTAGACTCAGATTGATGGACAACTTTTCTTAATTAAGCACCTTTTGATACTTCGTGAACAAATTGCTCCATTTCACACTGAATTCACCATTAAGGAAATTTCCCTGGACCTCAAGAAAACTAGAGGTATTTTGCTGTCCTGGCTGGCACACTTGGGTGTGTTTGATCTGTCCAGATGTGTCAGCACAGGTTTTAGGTTTATTTTATGTTCATCTGCAATTTTTGCATGCTTTACTTGCTAAATATGTTACTTGTTCATACTAAGCTGATCTGTCACCATCCTAATGACTTCTAACTTGCTGTATTTCCTTTATGAAGGGAACTGTATCTGGACATTTCAGTTTGTAATATTAGACTCACTTAGACTTTGCCACATTTTCCTACAACCAGTTAAAAAGTGAAAAATCGGTATAATAACTGCTTCCTAATGAGCAAGTAGTGTCAACTAGTTGGGATGATTTTAAGCGCTGAGTTGAGTTTGTCAATTTATGAAAATTCAGGAAGGCAGCTGGGTAATATAAGAAGAGTGCTTGTCTAAGAATTTGAAAGAATTGGGTTTTCTTCCTGTCCCATCATTTCCTGGCCCTTGTGTAATTTTGGGTGGGTGTTTCAGCTTCCCTACCCCACCTTCCTTTTAGGTAAAATGAGCATGATCATCTTGTCATGATACCTTCATGAGGTTATCAAGATCATTCAGACCGAAAATGAATGAAAATATATGTTAATGTCTTTATAAGTTTTTAAACTTCAGTGGTATTAAATCTGTAATCATGTAAGATAGGGTCTTTGAATTGGTAATAGATATTGAATCTTCTTGAGAAAGATGATTCATCCAGCCTAATGATTTGTCCCTGAATTAGTAAGAGATGATTTCTAAAAGATCAAAGTAGTTATTGTCTAAGATATTGATGTTAAGCAGTTAATAACATCCCTCATGTCCCTTAATTACTTAATTACAAATTTATGTACACTTTATCTTAAACATTTCTAAGAGATTTATGCTCTGATGCCTTAAGCCATTCATTTACGTGATCAGTTAACGTCTCCTGAATGTTTTGGGGCAATTAAAAAAAACCAGTCACTCAAATTATTTTCTTATGTGTTACGGTTTAGAGGAACCCCAAATATATGATTTTCAAGAATAACAGGTTTTTAGTTCCCCAATTCCTGTGCTTATCTGATGGTGGATTTGATTTAACTCACCCGGGAGCCAGTGTAACCTCATGACGATTCCTCTTAAAACAGTTTGCTCTTTCTTATTCCCCGTTGCTTTGTCGTGTCCACCACGGAGAATGTATTTTGGTTCTGTAAAGTTTGTGTGTTATGTGCTTTGTGATCTTTTAATTTTTTTATTTTTTTTCTCTAATCTTGAAAGTAGCATACCATGTGTTTTTGTTTTGTCTTGTTTTTATAAACAGGAGCCAGATTTCTTGGCTTTTGCCTTTATAGAACACATAGTTTTTTTAAAGCTTATTCTCATCAGAGGCTTCCATCTCCCACCCATTCTGGTTGATTTCATTCCTTCCTGTCAGTATGAGGTGTGAGAATCATGCTCTTACACCTTGAAGAATTCCCAGCTGCTGACAGTTCTTACTTTAAGTGATGGGATAGAGCAGGGTTGATTTGCTTTCTTTCATTTTTTTCTAATTTGTAATTTGTTGCTGCTTGGTTTTAGTTTAGATCAGCTGAGGTGAGAGAAAGTGAAATATCTTGAGATTGTGGCAAAATTTGGTTGAAAGTATGTTTTCCTACAAATATTACAAAACCTGTGTAACACTATCATTTTATTCTGTTTGGTGCTGACAGAATCTTTGAGGGGTCTTATAGAAAAGATAGCAGACACAAAGAACCATTTACTAAATCTTTACTCTGAATACTGAACTGATAGAGAGAGGCCTTGTTTTTTACTACCAGGGTCAAGGCAGTAAGTATTATGGTAGCGTGTGCTTGCAAAACCAGGATTGGAAGATTTCATGCCTTGCTTTATCTAGTCTGGCAAAGTAAAGACATGTTTTTTTCTTACTCACTTAATAATACTTGCTATCTTTACTTTTACGCCTCTAACCTCTCAAGACTAACGTTATATCATATTGCATTTGAACATCAATGAGACCTCGGCTAATACTTCGCATAGATTCTAGTTAGTCTGGAGGTTAAGGGGTAAATATGTCCTTTTGGTGTTTTCTTCTTGGCTGACACATTAGTTTATTTCCTCTACTTAAAATGAATAAATTTCTGTGCCAGCCAGCTTTTAACAAAGCAGCTGGGTAAGTATACGAGTCTTTTTTAAAAACCGATTTAACATCCTAAAAGTAAAGCAGTGAAATTTTAAGGTACCGATTACCATTTATCATTTTTCTTTTGGTAAGTGAATAATTGAGATTAATAGTCATTTTGCAATTCGAACTTCCAGAAAATAACTCTGTGAGTACTGTAGCCATCATTGCTGCTCGTCTCACCCTCAGCCTTTCATGGAAGTGAGTTGGTGAAGGTGAATTGGCTTTTTGTCTTGTGGTGGAGAGCTGGTGTATGTTACATGTGGCTTTGCTGTTGAAACTGTACATGTTCACTGGATGAGTAATTTTGTTTCACAGATGCAGCATTTAAAATCCTGAACCCTATGACTGTTCCAAGATTTTTTAGGCTGAATAGCAACAATGCCTTGATAGAGTTCTTGTTGGAGGTGAGAAGGAGTCTGTTTCATTGGTGGTGGGAGATAAACAACTTTCTTTAATTTGGTAATTTCTAGGCACATAAAAACAGGAAGAAATTGTTATCTTCTTTTTAAGGGTACTCCTGAGATAAGAGAACATTATCTTGACTCTAAAAAAGATGTAGACCGTCATCTGAAATCGGCCTGTGAGCAGTTTATTCAGCAGCAGACCAAGCTGTTTGTAGAACAGCTGGAGGAGTTCATGACAAAGGTATAGACCTTGGTGCCTATTGGGTAAAGTCATTTTGCATTCTTCCCTAGATTTCCTTTTGAATTACCTCTTGTGTAAACTCTGGCAGAAGGAGATAGTAAGCCCAGGTCTTAATGATTCTGTCTAGGAAATCATTGTGCTCCCTGTTATGGACGCTTTTTGGTTTATGGTCTTTCAGATATACTTGCACAGTTTTTGTTTTTAAGAGGAAGAGTGGAAATACTGCAAAGCTAGTTATAGCTGACCCCTGGTTAGCTGTGTTCTGTTTATCCACCTTGTGTTATCTGCATGTGGGCTGGGAGTCCCACTTTCTTCTGGAATCTCAGCTTCTCCTGGACCTGCATGTCAACAACCAGAGTCCTGGGAATCAGGGTTTCCTATTCTTAAAATGGGTGATTTATTTTTCTCCTTGTTTTACATGCTATTTCTCTCTTCCATTTTGTATGGATAATTGAGAATTGAAGAATTTTATATCATAGCATTGTTAGCCACCACATATATGGATTTATTGTACAGACAGTCCTCTTTAACATTGCTGGTTGCTTCCTGGAAACTGTGACTTTAAGTGAAACAGCATAAAATGAAGCCAGTTTTTTTCCTCATCAACAGTATAATGAAACAATGTTGAACCATTCAAGGAAACAACTTTGAGGACATGCTCTGCATCATTTCCCTTAAAGTCACAGTTTTCAGGAACCTCTTGCTGATTTTAAGTTAGGACTGATTGTATGTGTGGATAGTATATGCTTTCTGCCTCTGTCTTCTAAGCTAAAACCCATCAACTGGCGAATACCAGCCAAGAGAAAAGCAGATCATGGCTATTTTGACATTCTTGTTTCAACCTAATCATTTTTTAAAAATTTAAGTATCATCACCAAGGACTTAAAGATTTTTATTTTTTAATTTTTAAATTTTTACTTTTTGAGATGGAGTCTCTCTCTGTCACCCAGGCTCCAGTGCAGTGGCGCGATCTTGGCTCACTGCAACCTCTGCCTCCAGGTTCAAGTGATTCTCCTGCCTCAGCCTCCCGAGTAGCTGTGACTAATTTTTGTATTTTTACTAGAGACGGGGTTTCACCATATTGGTCAGGCTGGTCTTGAACTCTTGACCTTATATGATCTGCCTACCTTGGCCTCCCAAAGTGCTAGGATTACAGGCGTGAGCCACCGAGCCCTGCCTAAAGATGTTTAAGAAGTCTTGAAATTAGAGGTTGAGTGTGGCGGCTCATGCCTGTAATCCCAGCACTTTAGGAGGCTGAAACAGGAGAATCGCTCAAGCCCCAGGAGTTTGATACTGGTCAACACTCCTGGGCAACATAGTGAAACCTAGTCTTTACTAAAAATAAACAAAATCAGCCATGTGTAGTGGCATGCGCCTATAGTCCCAGCTACTCAGGAGGCTGAGGTGGGAAGATTTCTTGAGATGGGAGGTTGAGGGTGCAGTGAATCAGGATCATCCCACTGCACTCCAGCCTGGGTCACAGAGGAAGACTGTCTCACCAAAAAAAAAAAAAAAAGAAAAAAAAAAAAAAAAAAAAGTCTTGAAATTTTTGTTTATTAAGAACCTCTACTGTATATCCCAGACTTGTATTAGAGGACATCATCATAAAAAGAATAAAAATATGATGGCTTTTATTTTCAAATATGACTAATGTTAACTGGGCAGACATGATATATATATATATAATAACAAGGAGACAGCTAAGCAGTTGTTCATTAGAAACTTCTTGTTGGGTCCATCAGCACTAATATGTCTGAAGCCTGTGATAAAGACAGAAAATACAGGCTTTAAAAAATAATTAAAAGGGCCAGAATTGCATAGAAATGGTAAAGTACTCTTTTGTTTACCATTGGCATATATTGCTTGTTAAGTGGATTTTACTCCAAATATTTGGAATATGTGTGTATATACGTGTTTTTTTTTTTCCACCACAAAAATGTAAAAGGAGGGGGGGTTGAAATGCTTTCTCCCAGGTTTTGTTTTTTTTAAAAAGGTTTGAGTATTGGTACTTTGTAATTTACAGATAACCACAGTTTTTACTGAAACTATCTTTGAAAACAAGCTGGTAGATTGTAGTGTGTATTTCTGGGAGAACATCCACAATAGTACTAGTGGGCAATATTATAGATGAGTATTGTACAATAACAGAACAGCAGAATGAGCCTGCTAAAATAAACAAGTTGATTATAATGAAATCTAGGATTAAAGCGTTTTTCTAAAACAGCACAGTTTTTCTAGAAATCAAGAGAATAAAAATTCACACATGCCCATAATCCTAGTGACTCTTGGTGGCTGAGATGGAAGGATGGCTGAGCGCAGGAGTTTGAGACCAGCTTGTGCAACATAGCAAGACCTCGTCTCAAAAAATTTTTTTTGAAAAAGTAAATAGAGGTTTATGTAGAAGATATTCCAAGTCTGAATTATATAATGGTTCTCCGTGGACATACTACACTTGTATAGCAGGGATCCCTGAACAAATATTCATGGCCCTGTTTCTGTCCTCCCTTTGCCATGGGATTGGGAAGGGAAAGGCATTGTTTTTCATCCCATAAGAAGCTAGTCTTATCCCACCTGATCAGTCTCTGCTGCGCTTGCTCAGACTACTTGCAGTTGCCTCCCTTTTCCTCTGTCAACCCTGGGCCCTCACTGCTGCTCACTGAGTTTCTACTGAGTGGACACTGCAGCCTGGAGGACTGAGCATCCCTTTCATGGTGTCTTATTCCAGATTCAGGTCCCTTTCATCCTGTGGCATAGAGTGAGTCAGAGACAAAGATGCATACATGCATGCTTGCACACGCGCACGGACACACACACACACACACACACACACACACCCATTTGAGACACTGCATCTTAGAATTTGTGGACCAAAGATTTTTCACCTTTTACCTGGTGACTGTTACTAGCATTCCGAATAGCAGAGAAAGAGGAAGATTTTACAGAAAACGTAAAAGTGATTTTCTTTAAAGGTAAATCTCAGCATTAATTAACTGCAAGTAAAGAATCTCATGCCTCTTTTATTTAGTTAGCATTTTTTTATTTTTGAGACAGAATCTTGCTCTGTCACCCAGGCTGCAGTACAGTGGCATGATATTGGCTCACTGCAACCTCTGCCTCCCGAGCTCAAGCAATTCTTTTGGCTCAGCCTACTGAGTAGCTGAGATTACAGGTGTGTGCCACTATGCCTGGCTAATTTTTTTATATTTTTAGTAGAGATGGGGGCTTCACCATGTTGGCCAGGCTGGTCTTAAACTCCTGGCCTCAAGGGATCTGCCAGCCTTGGCCACCCAAAGCGCTGAGATTACAGGCGTGAGCCACCACGCCGGGCCTTAGTTAGCATATTATAAGGCAAGTGGTGCTTGTCCCTTGATAAATGAATGCAGGAAAATCAACTCCCATAGGTATAGACAGGAACCAGTCTTTCATCTCTCATTTGGATGTGTGTTTGTAGGTCTCGGTATTTATCATTTGGATGTAAGCCTCATCAAGAAAATGTCCTCAGCTTGTTTCTAAGTTTGGACTAATTTTTAACAATATACATGTATTACCATGTAGAGAATATTTTTAGGTTTTCAGAAGACTTGTTTTTGAGCTTAAAGAGTTAGGGCATGATTTGGATCCCTTTCATCTACTGTAAATTGGCCTTGTTGTTTAGGTAGCTTTTTCCTCTGTGCTCCTTGTTGAGATACTTTCCATTCATTAATTCTTAACTATATCTCTGGAACCTGGAGGAAGAGAAGCATCTTTATTTGACAGGTTGAGAAACAGGTTGAATATTCATGAGATAAACATTTTCTACAACATCTTTACCTGTCTGTTTTCTATTTAATATCTAATTTTTGGTATAATTATTGATCTTAACTGAGAAAAAATAAAATAAGTACTAGAAGAGCAATGTGCTCTGTTGCCTCATTTCCTGCCCCTGGAAGAATAACCTCTTCTCTAAGTATTTGATCCTGAGGGAATGTAATACTATTCTAGGGGTTAGGAGTAGAGGCTTATGTGAAAACATTTGACTTAGTTTCTACCAAACTTCAAAAACTGTTGATACTCTTTTATTGTTCTAGAATTCCATTGTGCTGAATATTGCTTGAAACAAACTGTTAAGTAGGACTTGGGTTGGTAGTGGGTGTAGTGGAAAGCACAGAACTTTGTGTCATGGCAGCCGAGGCCGAGATCCTGCAACTCCTGCCACCTTCTGACTGAACTTAAGGTTATCACGAGGACACAACAGGATCATCTGTGTATCTGTAAAGTGCTTGCTGCAGAAATGTGATTTTGTAGTGCAGTTTGACAAATCTGAGGTGAAGATTTTGCTTTAGCGAAAAATCTAAATTAAGGCATTTTAAAAAAAGTATGATTTCAGGTTTGTAGGTAAGCTTAAAAGTGTTTTTTTTTTCTGATGGGACCAGTTTATGCTAAAAACTCAGACATATATATATAAAATATTCATTTTCTTTCAAGCAATTTGATAAAGTATGGGTTTATCTTAATATTTCCTCTGAAGTGTTGTAAATTTCCTCAGTAACACTATAAACTTAAATTCTTTTCTTGATCTAGTGCATGTAATAGAGTTTGCATTTCTGCTCTCAAGGAGGTATAACCTAAAGGGAAATCAAGGCAGAATAATAGGTAAATATTAAACTGTACACAGCAGTGTCATTGTGAGACTATGGGTCTTTGTTCATTGTGTAGGGTTTTTAAGAAAAATGAGGCTCCCACTGCTTCACTTGATTAGCCTTAAAAAAAAATGGGGCTAATAGGGGACTGCTCTTTGAGGTTTGACTTAAAGATAAGTAAACTATCTGGATAGTAAATAGAGATGAATATACTCGTTTATATTTGTTTTCAACATAAAAATAATTGTAGAAACCTAAATATATGTTATGAAATTGGTTAAATTTTGGAGCAATCAGTGTAACAGTAGACAGCCATTACTGTTAAAACTGTTGGGATGGGTTTGGTGGCTCATGCCTATAATTCCAGCACCTTGGGAGGCTGAGGCGGGAGGATCACGAGGCCAAGAGATCAAGACCATCCTGGCCAACATGGTAAAACCCCATCTTGGGTGTGGTGGTGCACGCCTGTAGTCCCAGCTATTCCAGAGGCTGAGGCAGGAGAATCACTTGAACTTGGGAGGTGAAGATTGCAGTGAGTCAAGATTGCGCCGCTATACTCCAACCTGGAGACAGAGCGAGACTGCATCTCAAAAACAAAACGAAAACAACAACAACAAAAACTCCTGGACATGGGAGAACGACCAGATTGTAGATTTAAGTGGGGAAAAATGTTCACAGAACACTGTTCCCGGATTCATAAATGTAGACATATTAATATATTTATATTTTTACAATGGAAAATGTTTTGGATAGCACACACTAAAGTGTGAATGTATTTTTCTTTTAGCATTGTCTGGCATCTATAATATGTATTATTCATTTTTAAAGTATATTTCAAAAAATAAAGGTATGGAGAGAGATGGAGCAAGAGGAGGAAAGAGGTGATTTTATACAGGTATGCGGTATGAGCGAAGGCCTAGGAGGTCCAGGATGAGAAAGAGAAACTAGAAATAAAGTAGAAATAGAGGGGAGGCTGAAGAGATCTAAGTCAACATTATACCTTGTGTCTTCCCATCCTCTGCCTAAATGTTTGTATGGTCTTTTGTATGAGAAACCTAGAGCTGGTGCTCAGGTTTTTCTAATGAGACTTTCCTGTGAGGCCAAGGCCATGGACTGCATGTTTGGCACGACTGTCCATTTTAAAACATATCTTACGCAGTTTCTCTCTCTCATCCTCCCCAGTTACCCTGTAGCCCACCGTAGCTTACTATCTTAGAAACAGTCTTGTTCAAGCAGCTAAATGCCCTATTTTGGATCCACTTCTTGATATTGCTGCTAAGGAATGAAAAGAGTTGACTAGAAGATGGGCATTCAGGTCTATCTTCAGCACTGATTGGTCATATGTGCCTTTTGATTATATTTGAAAATCTTATTTGTTTGTTTTGATGACATTCTCTCTGCCTGTGATATAATAAGAAAAATGAGTCTCCAGTTATAAAGGAGATTTTGCCCAGCTAGGGTGACATTTTTCTAATTGCATATAAAAATAATTTCATATTGATATAACAGTCCCCTTAAGAGAGGCCTGTTTTATGTTGACATTTCTTTAGGGCTTCATTTTTGTCTTCCTAGCGGGAAGTATTTCAGATAGAATGCCTCAGGACTTTGGTATGATTTTTAGCAAGATAACCATATGCCTTGAAATCGTAAAAGACATTTTACTAAAAATTTTGATTACCTGTAAAGGATGATGAGATATGATGCATTTTTGTTAGGGCTGCACGTTTGATTATCATTGTGTTTTAATAGGTTTAAATGGTGCTTGTATCTCTTGAGAGCAGTACCAGTTTAATTTGTCACTGATGAAATGAAACTTTTCTTTTTGTCTCCTCTATTAGGTTTCAGCATTAAAAACAATGGCCAGTCAGGGAGGCCCCAAGTATACTCTCTCTCAGCAGCCTTGGGCACAGCCAGGTATTCTGATTTGACCATGTTGGGTTTCTTTTTTAGGATGTTATTAACTTGCATTTATAGAGTCCTTACTGTGACAGCTTGGAGTTGGTTTCCATTCACTCTGGGGTGCTGCAATCTGAGTTAATACAGGATTCAGTTTGGAGCTGACAGGTCTTAATTGGCTAGCACTACTTGTATTTCAACAAGCATTCCAAGGAAGGAAGAAGTTTTTTCGAAAAATCACCCAGTTAAAAATAAAATACGGCTAAGATGGAAACCCGTTGAGTCTGTTGATTTCTGTACACCCACTATCCATTGAGTTCAAGCTTTGATGAAAATACTGTGGTTGATAGGAAGAAATCATGGAGAGTGTACCTACTTTCAAGTATATGAAGAAATGTTGGGCCACTATTTTGTTCCACATTTTGTCCAAGTTTATATCCTCTGTTGACATTTTAGAGTATTTGAAAAAAAATGGTAAAAATTGAGGTGTCAGTTGGGAGTTGGCAGGCAATACTATTTTCTGATTGGCAGATGTATTTGAGATGTTCTTAGCCTTACTTTACTTAAATGTAAATTTTTTTGTGCTGGAGGGTTTTGGTTTTTTTTTTTTTTTGTACCTTTGTGTGTATAAACCTTTTTTTTTTTTTTTTTTTTTTTTTTTTGTGGTCTTTAGCAGTAGACGTTTAAAATCACGACTAACTTTGTGAGTTATTTCTGGTACATCTTGCGGCATTTTAAGTTGCCATTAAACCGGAATAAATCATGTTGTTAAATTGATATTCCTGGCCATTCCCTGGCCAATATTGTGATAGAAAGCCTTTGAAATGAAAATGGGCAAAATGGTGGAAGACTGAGTGTTTTAATTATGGCTAAGCTGTGTCCAAGTTGGAGGGCAGCTTTCCGCTCAGCGAGAGAGATCCAAAAAATGATTCTGGCTTTGCATCCATGAAAAACTGGCAGTGTACAGGCACCTAATCTGGAATCAGCTTTTTAATATGATTGGTTTTCCATATTGAAAGAGCATTATATCTGTTAGGTATTCATTTTCTTTGGGAAAAAGGATTGAAGCTGTTCAAAGCCTCCACAATTTTTAATTTTTTTTTTTTTTTTGAGATGGAGTCTTGCTCTGTCACCCAGGCTGGAGTGCAGTGGCATGATCTTGGCTCACTGCAACCTCTGCCTCCCGGGTTCAAGCAAGTCTGTCTCAGCCTCCCAAGTAGCTGGGATTACAGGGTTCCGCCATTATACTGGGCTAAGTTTTGTATTTTTAGCAGAGACAGGGTTTCACCATGTTTGCCAGGCTGGTCTCGAACTCCTGACCTTAGACGATCTGCCTGCCTCAGCCTCCCAAAGTGCTGGGATTACAGGTTTGAGCCACCGTGCCTGAACTCAAAATGTTTATTAATGCCTTAGGTTAATTTGAAGTTGAACTGAGAAGTTAAAAGTGTAGCTAAATATCACTTAGGAAGATTTGTAAATGTAGAGAATGTCAGTTGTCTTTGAAAGGAAGATAGGATTTTATTTCAAAGGTTCCTCATGTGAACTTTGATGATATCAATATAGGTTTGAGTTGATTTGTTTTATTGCAAATAAACTTTGTAATATGCTTTTGGTCTTTTGTTTACCATGATGCAGATAAGGAATGTTCTAACTGTCTTTATTATTTTAAACGTTTGTATTGTGTGTGAAATAGAAATCTTTGACATCTTACTACAAGAGCACGCTTAATACAGAGTACATTCTGCTAGAAGACAGAAAATCAGGTTCTTTTATTGCCAATATTGGAAATTCTAATCATAGTCTGGCATAGTATTAACCACCTCTTTTGATTCCTCACAGTCAAGAGGCAGACTTTTCAATTGACAACTCAGCTTACCTCTTGAAGGAATTCTTATTATTTGGGGATTTATTGAGCCTTTGACTCAAGGTTCCAATTACTTTTATAGGGCTTAGTTAGAAATAGGAGCTGATTTTTATTTTGAACATTTATGAAATGTTCAAAATTTATGAAACTTTGGATACAATAAATATTTGTTAAGATAGGTAGAAACCAGTATAGCTAAGCCCAGTGTCTTGATGCATAATTAATGCTCTTTCCCCTTTGGAAAGATCCTTTCTTTCAAATTAGGGGCTGTCATTTTCTCAAGTGGAACCCTAATAGGATTCAAGGTGTTAGATGTATTGTGCTCTTAAACGTTACTAGAATTTAGAATTGTCATAGTAATGCAGGAGTAGCTGAAAGGAAACTGACAGGAGAAGACAGAAGGACAGACTGAAGCAGGACTTGCTGCTTTGCCATTTAAGCCATTTCGTTCCTTCCTTAATGAGGAAATCTTAGTGAATATAGCAGTGACAGTTTGGTTTATCATGTAGTTGTGTCCCCTATCACATTTAGGCACACTGGAGGTATGGAGTTGGTTTTTATGAATCTGTAGTACTTGAAGCCCACACTTGAATGCCAAAGAGAGGTTTATGGCCCATTGGGGTGGGAGCATTGAGAACAATCGAGGAACTGTCTTGGGTCCCTCTGCCCTAAAAACTGAGGGTTACTGGTTCATTCAGACCTGGTCAGGTTCTCAGGGATCATTTCATGACCAACTCACAAGAGAGTGAGTTATAAATTAGGATGCCCATTTGTTCATTTACTCCGACAAACCTTTTTTAGGAAGTACAGAACACTTTAGTCACCAGCCTGCATACCCACTTTCTGCTTATCAAGGGCTCTGAAGACCGATTTAGTGATCCCTGAGGCATGTTAGTAATGATAGAACCAGAGCACATGGAAGTAAGGGTCTAGAAGGAGCTTTCATCTATTAATGAAAAATAAGTTCCTGAATTATTTATTCTTTTTTTGAGAGTGTCAGAGGCATTTGAAGCAGAGCAACTCCATCTTGAGAGAGGGCTAGGAAAAATGGGGGTGGGACATGCTGGGCTGCGTTCTCAGGTTAGGTACTCCTAGCCTCTAGGTGTTTACATTTAAGGAAACAGACTAATAGCATTCACTAAACAGACCCAGGCCGAGGAATGTCCTGATGTCCTGATATCTTCAGGACAAAAGCACTCCTAATTTTGCTTTAAAGATAATGATATCGATTCTTGCAAAATATAGTAATTAAGAAAAATTAACCCTCCATCACAAAGTAGCAGAGTACATATCCCCATGATGTTTTCTGTTATCTTATGTATAAACAAGCATTGTACCTAGGGTGGACACGCTCCTCTTTTACTTTTGGGAACACCCTACTCTGTCTGTGGAGTACCTATTCTTTCACCACTTTACTTTTTTTTTGAGACGGAATCTCCCTCTGTTGCCCAGGCTGGAGCGCAATGGCGTGATCTCTGCTCACTGCAACCTCTGCCTCTTGGGTTCAAGTGATTCTCCTGCCTCAGCCTCCCAAGTAGCTGGGACTACAGTCATGTGCCACCATGCTTGGCTAATTTTTTTTTTTTTTTAAATTTTTAGTAGAGATGGGGTTTCACCATGTTAGCCAGGATGGTCTTGATCTCCTGACCTTGTGATCTGCTCGCCTAGGCCTCCCAAAGTGCTGGGATTACAGGCGTGAGCCACCGCGCCCAGCCTTCACCACTTTACTTTCTTAACAAACTTGCTTTTGATTTATACTGTAGACTTGCCCTGAATTCTTTCTTGCATGAGATCCAAGAACCCTCTCTTGGGGTCTGGATCAGGACCCCTTTCCGGTAACAAGATCATTGGTTCTTTCTTGCCCTGCTTTACTACAACTTTCCTCAATTAAAAAAAACATTTTTACATGGTATAATATTTGAACTATGAAAAGCTATAAAATGAAAAGTAATTATACTTTCTACCTCCAAACCAATCCTTCTCTCAAAGGTAATTACTATTAAAGTTTCTTTCCCAAAATTGTTTATGTGTTTACTAGCATATGTGGACTTAAAAAAATATTACCCAAATGAGATTGTACTATACCCCTTGCTTTTTCACTTCTTGTGTATCTTAGAAGCCTTCTGTATAGCATATCCAACTTGATCCGTTCTATTTATTGGATGTATTGAATACATCACTATAGCATGATTTCTTTTGTAATTCTTGTAATGGAAAGTTAAATTATTTGCAGTTTTTGTTTTTCCTTATACTCTTAACAACTTTGTATACTCATATCTTGGTATTTTTTGAGTATATCCATAACGTAAATTTCTAGCAGTGGAAAAGCTAAAGGAAAGAGTATCCGCAGTTTCAGTTTTGCTAGATACTGCCTAATATTTTTCCAAAGAGGTTGAACCATCTTACACTTCCATCAGCAGTACACAAAGATGTGTGTTTCTCCATACCCTCGTCAAACATGAATATCACAATCTTAGTAATTTTTGCCAATCATTTGTAAATATCTCACTGCTTTAATTTACATTTATTTAATTATGAATGAGGTTGAGCATCTTTATAATTGTTAATCATCTTTTTTCTTTGTAGTTTTCTGATAACTTCTTTTAAATGCTTCATACAGATACTGCTCTCCTTTTCTGTATAACTCCTTCAGACACTATACTAGGGTTTCATACTTATTTTTGTTATAACTTTTTGGGATTCTGTTCCCTTTCTGATAATACAGTATAAGAATATAACAAATAGATATTTCATTACCCTTAAATATATGTGGATATTTTCTGAATGATCTAAGCATCTCTTACTGTGAGTCATTTCTGCAAATGAACAAACTCATTCATTATGAAGTAATTCTTACTAATGTCTCTTTGAGAATGACTTTTTTTTTTTAACCTTAATTTCTTACCTCCAAATTCCAAAGGTACATATTACAGCTCTCATGAGTGTCCTGAAGCATGCTAGGGGAGTTATTTCGCAGCCTTAGCCCTTGGGATTAGAATTTTGTGTAGTAGATATTTAATTAATGTTTATAGGGCTTATGATTAAACTTGGTAAATAAGCTATAAAAATGAAAGAAATTCTTTGGGGAAATAAAGAATTGGTTTTTCTGCTACTTTTTCTCCCTTTATTCCCCTCTGAATTAAAATGGAAATATTTCTTTTCTTTTTCTTTGTGACACTAATGAGGTTAATTTCTTTCCAGCAAAGGTCAATGACCTTGCAGCCACTGCGTATAAGACAATAAAAACAAAGCTGCCGGCGACGTTGAGAAGTATGTCCTTGTACTTGTCCAATAAAGACACCGAGTTCATCTTGTTTAAACCAGTGAGGGTGAGTGTTGGATAACTCATTTGAATGTTGGTGGGTGACTTCAAGTATTCTTTGCCTCATTCACCATTTTCCTTTTCCTATAGACATTTGAAAATGTTGGTATACTGTTCTAGTGAAGTGGAATAATCACTATGATTCATGAAAGGCTTACAAAGCCTGCCTCTGTCTGATCTGTCTATCTTTTTTTCTCACTGTCACTTTGTCTTAAATTTTTAATGTTACTATTGAAAGTAGAAATTAGTAAATTAAAAAAATCAGACCCTTACATTGCATGTGGCCCAACTCTCAAGAGAGCAGCGCTTCAGGAATTATGCCCCGTTTTACTGGTGAGTAGTAGAAATAAATGGCTTGCAGCGGCAACCAAGGGATTAAATGTCAGAGCAAATTTAGGGCTCATAACTTCCAGCTCTGTGTTGAGCTCTTGTCCTTACCCAAGGCGTTGGTTGATTTTTAAAGTATATTTTATGTGTCTAGGAACTTCATTGTCTTTTGTGTAAGAAATTGTTGCAGAAGACTCTTAAAATTATTCTCTGGGGAGACAAGGCTTGCTAGAGTTTAGTTTTCTTGGGAAACGTTACTGATAAGTCTTCGTCAGGTTGTACCAGCATTGAAATACTAAGAGCAAATTATATGTCTTTGGTGATATCATGAAAGATGCATTGCCTCCACTCGCTTTGGCAAATATCATTAGTATTTAACATTCATGGTGCTTCATGTTTAAGCCAACTCACTTGATATGATCTCCTCTCCTCCTTTCTAAGAATAATATTCAGCAAGTCTTCCAGAAGTTCCATGCCCTGTTAAAGGAAGAGTTCAGCCCTGAAGACATCCAGATCATTGCCTGTCCATCCATGGAACAGGTAATTGGTAGACCGAAGATCCTTATTACTTTTTTGCTCTCTTGGGTACTTCACTTGAGTAGATAATGTCTTTGAGCAAACATATTTTTAGCTCTAATTTTAAAAATAGTACCTTCATTTATTCTGATGAGTAAGAATTCAGACTTTGAATTGTTCTTTCAAACTTTTTGGGGATGATTTTAGAATTTTCAGTTGCTGTTTAATCCTTTCTGATATGAATATTGCTGTGTTTAAGAGAATGACCCGTTTGTAAAAGTCTCAAATAGTGACATTTAGCTTGTTGAAAAATCTTGTTTGAAATATGCATAAAAAATTTTAAACCATAGGTTATTGAGGTACAGATAGTGTTTGGTTACACAAATAAGTTTGTTAGTGGTGACCTGTGAGATCTTGGCGCACCCATCACCCAAGCAGTATACACCGCACCTATTTGTAGACTTTTAATAACGTCCATATTAAAAAAAGGGACGTTATTGAGTACCCAGTATGTATTAGGAGCAGCCTGGTGCTGTGGAGGATATTTTATTTCTGGTCTTAAGTTTGGGATAGTTTAGAAATGTAGTATGTGCTAAGGACTGGAGAATTTAGAGACTGATCAGGCTGGCAAGAGGATTAGTAGGACTAGAGAATTTGGGGATGTGTAGGAGCTAGGGGGACAGGACCAGGCAATGACGAGTGTAGATAAATCTTGTGTTTTTAATTTTTGTTTTTGTTTTGAAACGGAGCCTCACTTTGTTGCCTAGGCTGGAGTCCAGTGGTGCAGTCTCGGCTCACTGCAACCTCTGCCTCTCGGTTTCATGCAGTTCTTGTGCCTCAGCCTCCTAAATAGCTGGGACTACAAGCACCTGCCACCATACTCATTGAAATTTTGTAGTTTTTGGTAGACAGGGGGTTTCACGATGTTAGCCAGGCTGGTCTTGAACTCCTGACCTCAAGTGGTCTGCCTGCCTCAGCTTCCCAAAGTGCTGGGATTACAGGCATGAGGCACTGCATCTGGCCAGAATCTTCTGAGGACTATTATTGTAGTGGGGAGGAGAAAGATGGGGTGCTGGTAGCTGGAGGCAGAAATGGGGTCATTTTAAAATTGAGATGTAGTTCATATACCATACAATTCATCTTTTTACATTGCAGAGTTCAGTGGTGTTTAGTATATTCACAAAGTTATGCAGTCATCACTAGTATCTAATTCTAGAACATTTTCATTCCTTCCCAAAGAACCCCCTTACCCATTAGCAGAGCTCCATTTCCCCTTTTTCTATGAGTCTACTTCTTGTCTCTGTGGATTTGCCTATTCTGGATATTTCATTAACTGGAGTCATACAATATGTGGCCTCATAATAGCTGCTTCTTTCATTCACCTAACGTGTTTCCAAGGCTCATCCATGTTGTGTGTATCAGAGCTTCGTTTTTATGGCTGTATATATTCCTTTTTGTTGATAGATGGGTCACATTTTAAAAAGATATTTGTATTGTTCTAGGATATTTGTGCAGTCAAAATATTTCTTAATAATTTATTTGAAGTAATTACTTTCTATGTGATTATACCAGTAACTTGATACATAGTTGGGTTTCTTTTCAATTTTTAGAGATTTTTTTTTTCTATTTTGATTTAATTTTGTTTCTTAATGATGTAAAATACTTACATGGTTTCCAAGTCAGAAATACAGAACAAGGTACATTTGGAGAAGTCTTGTACCTTTTCCAATCCCCTCTGGCATTCCCTTCCCTTCCCTAGAGATAACTCTTTTTATTAGTTATTGGGTTATCCTTCCATTATTTTTTTTAAAGATAGGAGAAAATGTGTGTTTTTATGTTCGTGGGGCAAGACCTACAAGGAGGGGAGTATCTTGAATAGAAAATGTGGGGTAGAATCTCAGCAACAGGCAGGGTGGGGCCTTTGTCATGGTAACAGGAGGAGGCCGGGTGTGTGGGCATGGATGGGGGGGGTGTGGCTGTGACAGGAGCTTGTGGACGTGCTCATCTGAGTGCTTCACGTTTCTTACCGAAGTAAGAAGCAAGGTCCTCACTGAGAGTGAGGAGGGAGGCTCGGGGAGTGTAGTCGTTATGAATCCAGCAGAGTTCATTCAGCTTAGTTGTCTGATGTTTTTTCTCCAGTTATAGTCACTTGCATGAATGTAGATGTGTAGTAGTTGGATCATAAGGTCCAATTTATGGCAGAAGAGATTATTTTTGTAAGTTTAGTTTGTTATAATTTCAGACTTACAGAAAACGTGCAAGAATAGTGTGAGGAGCACCCATATATCCTTTATTCCATTTTTGTTTTGCCCCATTTGCTTCATTTTTCTCACTTTTTCCCTTCCCTGTCCCTCAAGCCAGCCCCTCTTTTAAATCATTGGAGAGGGAGTTGGGAGACATTGTATTCCTTTACTCCTAAATACTTCAGAGGGTATTTCCTAAGAACAAGGAAATTCTCTCACTACTCCTGTTCAGTTATCAAAACAGAAAACTTAACATTGATACTAGTGTCTATGTCACAGTTCATATGCACATTTCATCAGAGTCCCTGTACCGTTCTTCCTGATATTCTCACTGACGTTTCCCCAGTCCAGGTCTGGCCCCAGGTCATGCATTGCTGTCAGTTGTCACATCTCTAGATTCTTTTGACCTGGAGCAGTTTGACGGCCTTTCCTGACTTTCACAGGCCAGTTATTTTGTAGACTGTCTCTCCGTTTGGTGTTGTTTCTTTCGTCATGATTAGATTCAGGCTTTGTGTTTTTGGAAGGAAAAGCACAGAGGCGATTCTGTATCCCTATTCTGACGGCACTCATTTATAAATGAGATCGGGGCGGTGATCTGCATCAGCAAAGCAGCTGTACTGATAGAATGGCTCACAGCCAGGTCCATTTACCTGCAAGGTTCTAAGGCTTGGGTGTCAGACACCTGGAGTGCAAGCAGCCATTTCCCTCCTGCCACTGCTGTGTCCTGGCTCTGGTGTCCCAGTCCTCTGTTACAGAGTGGTCAAGTTGCTCCTGCAGTTGGTCATAATTTGGCATGTGTGTTGAAATTCACTTGTCATGTCTGTTCCTATACATTTTAAAAAGTCACTTTAAGGACAGCTTATGCACAACTCTTCCCACAACACACTCTGCATAGAACAAGGCACAGTGGATTATGGAGATATGTTTCTGTCACTGTCAGTATTTGTATACAGTTTTTGCCATCATCCTCATTGGATTTTAAGTGATTTGACGGCCTAGATTTGGTGATGAAGTGTGACCCCTGTCAGGGCCTTCCAATGGCAGTGCCCAGTGGCTGCCTCAGAAATAGACCAGCATTGTGGGCCAGTTTTACAGCCATGTTTACTAGTCTCATAAAAGTCTTGGTCTTTTTCTCTTATTTTGTTTTGGAGGCTCTAACAACTTTTTTTTTTTTCATTCTAATTGCTTTATTTTATTTTATTTTATTTTTCAACTTTTATTTTACATTCAGGGAATACAGTGCAGGTTTGTTACCTGGCTGTATTGCATGATGCTGAGGTTTTTCAACCCTTGTTCCCCTTCCTCCCCGACTTTTCTTGAGGATGGTATTCCATAGGAGAACTAACATAGCTCTTAACTTTGCTTTTCAGCTGAGCCTCCTGCTGTCAGTTTCTAAATAAGCAGGCCAGCTGAGGTGTGCACCTAAATGATCTGTCTGGGAGAAGCAGGCTGAGAAGTCTGGCAGTCTGCAGGACACACCGAGGAATCGTATGTGGGAATGTCCCCGAGAACCACACGAGCGTGCTGCCCAGTGCTGACTGCAGAATGAAATAGAAGTAAAGTGTTACAAGATCGGTGTTTTCTTCTCTAAAACATCAAAATGCCAAAGATTAATCTGTGATTGGTGATAACTGCCTCATTTAAAAGGTCACAAGAAATGTGAAGAGAGAGCTAGGGCAGACACGCAGTGAAATGGTTCTTGTAAAAGATGTGCAATAAAAATAGGTTACAATAAGTAGTGCAAAGAACTTTACAGAAATGCAGCAAATTAGAAGGCCTGTAAGAGTAAGGTTTGCTAAAACGTGAAACACTGTAACACTTTTAACCACTGGAGCATTCCACAGTGACTATTTTTTTTATTTCCAGAAATGTTATTTCTACACTCTTATATATTTCTTCTATCATTTTGAAGTTTAGTTTGGAGTAGATTGGTTGCTTCTGAGAACACATTCTGCCTTCCTGGGAATTCAGGGTGTCATCCTTTTCTCTGTTTGATGTGAGGAGGTTTAAAGATATAGGACTTCGTGTGAAGCTCCAGCATCGGTGCCCCTTGAATTGCTTAGGTGCAAAAGGTTCTAAAGCAGGGAGCTGCAGCCTTCTCATCATCGATACGTGCGGTGTCTTTAATGAATATCTTCATGGTATGAAGTGGTGCGAGTTTGTGAGTGCAAAGTACCAATTAAGGTGTCGTAAATTTGGTGCACAAAGGAGAGAAGGAAACTTGATGAATAGTGTTCCTCATGAGGGAAGGTTCAGGTCACCAGCCTTCTGTACACTGCCTTTGGTTTTAGCAGTTCTTTGAAAAGCAAACACTTTCATGTCCTGTCTATTCATGCAGCTGGCTGTGCTGTACTGTGGGCCAGCCGTGTGGATCTCCAGCCTGGCTACAGCAGAATACGTTTTACCAGCAAACCTAACACTATCTACATCTGAAAACTACCACGCCATATCAGGAATGATAAATTATGCATCTCTATGAATTTTCCAACAAATTCCAGTTTCCTGATTGGATTGGTTTTGCCTCCGATGACAAGGTACCCAGCTTCTTAGTTCAAAAAGAATTCTGGATCAGGTGTGGTGGCTCATGCCTGTAATCCCAGCACTTTGGGAGGCCAAGGTGGGCTGATCACGAGGTCAGGCGATTGAGACCATCCTGGCTAACATGGTGAAACCCCATCTTTACTAAAAAAAAAAAAAAAAATACAAAAAATTAGCCAGGCGTGGTGGCATGTGACTGTAGTTCCAGTTACTTGGGAGTCTTAGGCAGGAGAATCACTTGAACCCGGGAGGCGGGGGTTGCAGTGAGCTGAGATAGCGCCACTGCACCACTGCAGCCTGGGTGACAGAGCGAGGCTCCATCTCAAAAAAAAAAAAAAAAAAGGTGGGGGGATTCTGAGTTATTCAAACACTAGTCTAGAGGTGGACACTGTCAGGGATTCTGGAATGGGACCAGGGGACCTTTTGATGCAGTGGGTACCTGTAACTCATTAGACATGACGGAGGCAGCACTTCTGTGGAGTGCAGATGGGTTACCTATCCTGATTGTTGTCATTTTAACAGCTCACTTCCTTTTCACTTAGTTTAGATTGGTAATGGAGGTTGCTTGATAGAACTTTTTACTCTCTATTTTGAGAAGGTAGAAAGTAAGAAGGCCCATATTCATTCTTTGCCATGAAATGAATGAATTGGGAAGATTTTATTTACTTAACTGTTTTTAAACACGTTTAATGAAATAAACTGTAAAATATCCAGTTTTGTGTATTATATGTACATTTGATTTTTAATAGCCTTTCCAAAGAAATGCGGGCACGATTATTGTACAGTAAATACTGTGACTGATTTAATTTGATGTGCAGACCAGAGTATGTTCTTATAAAAATAATTAATGACATTGGTTCTTGTGTTTTGATCTTTTATTTCTGAAGCACTCAAACACCTTACGAAGTGCTAAGTAGGTAATAGTGACCCAACTTGTTTGCTAAATGATTGTTTAAATCTGTACAGTTTCAAGTGTTTACTTATACAAAGAGTGTATATACTTTCAAGTAATTTAAAATGCTTTATATTATTTGGCTAGAAATTGCTGTTTTTAATAAATGTGAATTTTTTTAAAATAAAGATTTTTGCTTCCTATCTTGTCCTCGTGTGTCTGGTATGTGTGCGGATTCCTTGAGGAAAATTTCTTTGATTGAGATAACTTGTATCAGACTCACATGCAGTTGTAAGAAATAATACAGATAGATCCCATGTACCCTTTGTCCAGCTTGCCCCAATGGTAAACTCTTGCAAAACTATAGCACAGTATCACAACCAGGGTATTCACATTAATATATTCTATCAATCGTACTCAGATTTTGCCAGTTTTACTTGTACTGTATAAATTCCTTTGGCAAGAAAATTCTTGTGAAAAGACATTTTTGAAGCATATTAATACTTCATTAGTTAAAAGACAATTTAACTTTTTCTTTGTGAAACTGACAATTTCATGAGTATTGTCAGCATAGTACTGACATACAAAGTTGTATGAAAATTTAGTATTATTGTAGGAGCAGTAAAAACCTTTGTATTTTTTCGCCTGGTTTAACAACACCTGGTTTAAATTTTCTTGTGCTGTTACCTTATAAGTAAGATAACTTATAACAGTCAACCACAGTTGAATGTCTAGCATATACCCTCCAGATTTTTTTCTATGTATATTCTAAAATAACTTTTCTTACAAAATTGGGCTTTTTTACACATGTTAAAGGAAATCAAGTGGGTTTTAATTATTAGTTTATACAAACACTCATATATATTCTTTTGCTAAACTATTTGAAAGGACCTTGTGGTCAATGTTACACTTTACCTTTAGATTGTACCCCTAATAATTCAGCATCTGTTTCCAAAGAATAAGGACATTCTCCTACATAACCCCAAATCACTATCACACCTAAAAAAGAAATTCAGTAATATCTAATATGAAGTCCATATTTCAGCTTCCCTAATTGTTCCCCGAAAATGTTTCACAGCTTTTCTTTATCCTGGGTTCAACATTTTACTTGGTTGTCATGTCTCTTTAGCTCCTTTTAGCTTAGACCACTACTCTTAAGAGTTTTCATTTGTTTATTTTCTTGACATTGACTTTTTTTTTTTAAGGAAGAGTCTAAGACCCGCTATCTTACAGAATGAATCACAGTGCAGATGGTCCTGTTTCCCATTAGTAAATTCAGAATACCCTAACATTTCAGGATATATCTTCTCAAACACAGGGAGGAGTTGCCAAGATAGATGTGCTGGGCCATAAGAAAACAAAACCAAAAAACCCAAGCATGACCTACAGCAGTGGCAATCTCCCTGCTCCCACCCCCAGCCCCAGATATGTGGCAGTGCCTGAAGACATTTTGGTTGTGACTGGTGTGTGTGTGTGTTAGGGGTGGGGTATTACTGGCTTCTAGTGCGTAGAGACCAGGGATGCTGCTGAACATCCTACAATGCACCGGACAGTCTGGATCACAAGGAATCATCTGGCTCCAAATGTCTGTAGAGCAGAGGTGGCAAAATCCTGCTATACAGAATAGTGAGTCTGAGTCCCCAGCACTTGCTGTTCCTCTCACCTGTGTTGTTTTCATACCTGACACATGATGTATTTTGCTTGTTTTTTGTCTTCCCCATCAACCCAGATCACAAACTCCTTGGGAAAGGAACTTTGTTTTGTTTATACGCAGCACCTAGAACAGAGTCTGCAGAAGGTGCGCAGTAAGTGTTGTGTGACTTTGTTGTCCAAGCCATGCTGCCTTCCCCACATCATCCCATTACTAAGTGCTGGGCATTTTCTATCTCAGACAGGTCTTTAACTTCTTCAGTTTTTCTAATACCATTGCCCCGGGTCAAGGCTTTCATTTTCTTTTCTTTTCCTTTTTTCCCCATCTTTCCTGAAGAAGGGCCTTCATTTTCAAGCCCTTCTGGGAATATTGAAATACCTCTTTTTTTTTTTTTTTTTTT